AGTTTTATTTTATTAAGAGTGTTACTTTAAATAAAACAAGCAATCCAAAGGATTTCAAACCACACAGGCTCATTATTATAGTGTGTATAGAGAGTGCTTAACACATGGAAGCTTGGAATGAGCAGCTGCCTTTCAGGGAAGACGTGACAGCACAATAAATCAGGCAGATATGGTCAAGCTTGTCCTATCAATCCATTGTTTGATTTTGTTTGAAAGTATACAGGGGAATAATCTCACCACCTAACCTTAGAAATTCCTAAAGTAGGAAACTAGTCATACTGTGTGATCCATGGAGAGACATTGACTCTTCCAGAGGTGGTTCAGAACAAACACCTAATTGAGGAACACTGAACTCTGGTTTCTCACCCAGGTCACTAAGGGGAGTTATTCTTACCTTACCAGTCAAGTCTAAAAAATGCAGTGATTAGCCTCCCCTGAGCTCCGTGATGCTGAAAAGGATTTTAATGAAATCACTTGTGATGAAGGATTGAGATAACCTGGTCTGGAGGAAACTTTTCTAATGGAAAACTTCGTCTATTATTTGTATAGTTGTAACAATGCAGTGCTACAGTGTGGGTTATGGCCCCATTACCCTACGTACTATACCAACATTGCCCAAATGTATTTAAATAATAATGCTGCCTGCTTCTCTTTCTGGTAGAAAAAGGCATTACAAAGCTTCTTCGTCACTCATCCCGTGCTGGCACCACGTACATGGAAGCCAAACACAGGTGCAAAAGCAGTCTTCGCTTTGACAAAATTTTGTCCTTTGTCTATGCAAAGTCAATGGCTTCAGACCTTTTATAAATGATTGGTGGCTTCCAGGTGGGTATTGGAAATTAAAGTTAAGAAGAAATAAACCTTCTCATTGCCATCAGCAGAATTTAATCTGACTAGGTGGGATTTTCCGTTTATGTTGGCAAACAGAAGCATTTCATATTTGGACTGTTTATTCCGGTAACCTTAGCTAGCCTGCAGAACTGCAACATTACTCTTTTGATTAGCTCCATGCAAAAAGATCTTGCGAGGTGGAAAGATCTCCTACTCTTTCTATATTTGGCAGGACCAACTCCATAAAAATGTCCATTTTGCCACGCCTCTGATACCCCACTGCAGCTGCTTCCTCTCCTCATCCCACAGCGAGATATTAAAAAGTTTGCATGGAACCTTCTCCAAGTTTATCTGGATGTACAAAAAAGCCAAGAATGCGCAAATATCTAGGGAGCTAAGATAGTTTTTAGTCTAACTGGCTCTTCAAAATATAATAGAGGCCTGCCAGCTGAAAATTATTAACTGCTGGCTGAGCAGGGATTGTGAGTGCACTCTATAAGAGATGGAGCAGGAATTATATGTACCTATACTGCTGGAATTCTTACGATACCATAATAGAGCCATCCTACCACCAGATGTGCTTATAATGCTCTCAAAGTGCACTCTTAATATCTAGGCAATTGAGGCACTTATTTCATTTCATCCCATCCTCCTGTCTTGTAACTCAGGTTTCCTTTTTAGGGAGCAATAGGATTACTTCCTTCTCCTGATCCATATGTTGTAAGGGGTTTTTTTCATTATTATTTTTGTGAAATGGCCTTCCATGAGTCATTTATGTTTGAACTGATCTTGTAAGTTGTTTCAAAAGTCAAATGGAGCCTTACTTTGATGACTGTAGAAAACTTTAATACCCTTATATAGCTTTTTAAATATGGCCAGACATATGTTTTTTTCTACAGCTTGTTTAAATGCCAGAAAGGTAATTATGAAGTGTTAGTTGGTTAGTGCCTCTTTTAAGCTGTGGCGTATGGTTGAAATTATCACTGTAGTCAAGAGGAAGATAGAGCTTTCTTAAGATAATAGGCTCCGTGATTTATCTCACATCTTGGGAAAGAACTGAAAGTTGTAACTTTAGGATGACCCAACAATACTTTCCCCAGATTATTTTTTGTTCTTCTGCCCTCTGAATAATGTGATGCTTGTCATTTTTTAGAAACCTAGTAAAAACAATTATGCTAAACAATTCATTCCATCAGGGGTTAGGTCTTCTCTCAAACCTATTTTCTGAGCAGATACGTTAGTTCACCTGATACCCACTGCTGGTTTTTGTCATTGTATTATCTGAAGCAAGTTTCAATTCTCTGTGTGCCAATTCAACGTTTCATGAGAGATCAGGAGAGCTTTCAACACAAATAGGTCTACAGCCTGTGATGAGATTGAATTTATCACTTGTGTGTTCATTTATTGCAAACAAAGGAACTACTGCCTATCAGGTACCATTTACTGCAATGCAGCCTTTTGGGGGGAAAAATAGTAAAGGAAAACTGTTCCAGAAATAGTAATTTTCTAAAAATGTTACCTCACTGGAGAGTGTTTTTTTGGAATTCCATCAATATATTTTAATTCAGTCATAATAATTTTAGAGAAAGGACTGGTTTTGTTGCATCTGTTTAAGATAGGTATCAAATATAATCTCCTCTGTTGGGACAGTTAGTAAAAGAAAGTAATAACAGTAGTAAGTAAGCAAATAAGTGCTGTTATCCCACTCAAGAATAATCACTCATTCTGCTAATGATGGAAAGACAGGTCCTGAATGTCAGTTCAGTCTCTTAACTGGAAAAAAAAGAAATATTAGTGTCACTCCAGGTTCACCCTGGAGTATTTTTTTTAAGTCACTGAAGGAATACTGATGTAAAACAAGTATGCAAGAAGAGTTAAGCCTTTTGATTTACTGCATTCAACTTCTGAAGACTGCCATATACCATGGAAACCCACACCCAGTTCCATGCCTATTTGGACCATTTTTCCATCAAAGCAATATATTTGATTTTAAAAAGAGACATTTCTAATTGACAACATTAGAAGTGACATCATTACTTGGCTTACTATGATTCAGAAACTGAAAAATATGTCCAAAATTTCCTCTCAATTTTCTTTTTGTTTTCAATTAACAACACAGTTTTTATGCTATCATTTTTTTTTTTTCTCTCAGACCATTTTATTGTGGCAAGATACAGAACTGGACTCTATCAAGCTAAAAATCTTAATGCTTTCCTTTTCTAAGCAAGGGTGGCTTTAAGCAGGAAGGCAGGAAGGCAGGAAGGAAGGAAGGAAGGAAGGGAGTTATCTCTAGCAGCTCAGTTGTCACTCTGTGATAATCTGGGGAAGCAGAGAAGAATTAGAGTACATAATTAGATAGACTAATTATAATTCTATAGAAATTATCAGAATTATCAGCAGAATGCTTAGAACTGACATTATGTGACAGCAAGTGCTCCCATGACTTAAATGAATTCTCTGCACTGGTGTAGCACAAGCTGCCTTTTCTCCTCCAGAGACAATATTCAATATTTATCTGTCCCTTTTCAGTATGTTAAATGCTTTTAGTTTAACTATTTCCTTTAGAATAGTGAACTGTCTCTTTATTTAGTTGTACTATTCCACTTGATCTTTGAAGAAAAGAATAAAGAATTTATCAGGGAGAATAGTTAAATTCCAGTCCAAATTCACCATTATTAAATATGGAGATACGTTTTTTGAATCCAGCTGACTGATTGCCATCAAATTGGCCAGCAGATATTTTTTAAAATTTATTTTTTGTTGCTCAGTTCCACACCAACTCTACCTTTGTCACTGAGACAAGAATTCATTCCTCCTCCCCTTAGATGTCAAAATCAGGTGTGGAAGTTAATCTAATTGTCTTGGCTTACCTTAGTCAACGGAAATGAAAAAGGCAAAATTTTATCAATTATTTGTTACAAAATGGTGCGCTTTACAAATATAACAAACATATTTAAGTAACTGAAAATGACCCCAGTGGAACCTGGCAACATGTTCAAGTCAAACGAGAGATTACTGGCTGCTTCTTGACAAGCTGGAAGGGACAGCCATTGTCTCAAAGTCTTCAAATAAAAAAAACTGTTTCATTTGCTTGTGTGAGGAAATGTGTGTTCATATGTATAGAAAAGGATGGATTTTTACCGAGATATCTACTTATAGCAGGCATTAATGAAACTCAAGAAAATTGCAAAACTTCTCATATCTAGAGTTCACAAATCACGGTGCTATTTTGATACCTTCCCTTGAATATATCATCATCTTACTGATTGTATCTAAAGCAATGCCTCAATCTAATATTGATTCCTGAAAAAAGAATGTCTATCAGTGGGCAAAAAGCTTTCAATTTTAATGATAAAACTGTAGGTAACATTTCATCAGATTTGGTGTACTTGAGTCCAGTATTCTAAATGTCTTTACTAAAACACGTTTTTTAAATGTGTATGTTGATGTAATTATTATTTTAAATGTGACTTGACTACCTATTTAGTGTGTTGGGATGAGATTCTGAAACAATTCAGTACATGCTTAACATGAATATTTGCATTAGAAATCAATGTGACAACATGCATGATGAAACTTGAGCACGTGCAGAAGTGGTTCCCGGACCAGGGTTTGGAGAGCAGGAAACCAATAACAGTGATAAGAAATTCCATCGTCTCCTCTGCTTTCACAGCGCAGGGTAAGATAAAGTGGTTAAAAATGCCTGTATTCCAGTTTTGCTGGTGTTCCCATTCTTGCTGCCATCTGGAAACAGGATGTTCAGAAACTCTGGACAAATGGCAACTGCATATATTTAATAGACTAAACCAAGATGCTCCTATTTGTTGCATGCAGGCAAATCAACTGCTTGTGCATGCGGTATTTGAGACTTATCACTTCTTCAGCCACATCAGTGTGGACAGATTAGAAAAGATGTGCACCAGTTTAACAGATATATTACTCGTGCTTTTATCTTCCATCTCTGCCTACTAGATGAAACTAATCTGTAGGTGGTACATATAAAAATATAAATTACTTGCATAGCAGAGAGATAATAAGTGTATATCATTTTGCTATAAGCATTCAATCTGATATATCAACATATCTGTTAGTAACATAAACAAGAGCTCTACTGTGAGGAGCTACTAATATTGGGCAAGCATTTAAACTCCATTATTTTGCATCAGTACCTGTCTTTCAGTGAGGTCAAGGTTTACTGCTATCTCATATCGCCTCAGCCTGGTCAAATAGTTATGATGAGCAAATTCTGCTTCTAGCTCTCTGATTTGCTCCTTGGTGAAAGCTGTCCTTTCCTTCCTGGGTTTACTGTTGACCTCTGACTTGTAGTTTCCTTCTTGGGAATCTGAAAAAAAAAGTTGAAAAAATTGAAGTAATGACAAGCGTACAGCTAAATAGGAAACAAGCCCAAAGATAACAACGAACTTAAATTACATTCTTCAAACATTCTTCTCTCAGAAACACACCCTTGCTTTCATACCTATGGATTTTTCACTGTAAATCAGGAAAGCAGCAGTAATTCTGACAGATGTGAGCTGCTGCTGCTTCCATTCATGCACATCAAGCTTTAGCTTAAAACCTTGCAGTGTTTCATTTCCTAACAGTTCTCTGTAGAATTTCTGCAAAGCTTCAACTCCTTCCCAACTCTGGCAACTCTCAGTGCATCCAACCAGTACAGGATGTGTATCATTTGAGTAGTGTCTTAATGAGTAGTACTTCAAGAATCTTTCTCTCCTATCATTTCACTAATACTTTAAGCCAAAGCTCTATTTTAAAGAACACACTTCAAGGTTTAGTCCAGTTACACTTTCAGGGAAAGGTAATAGACGAAGCATAGGAAATTCAACACATATCAAAAAGAAGGCACGTCCCATGTGATAATGGGATCTCCTCCTACTCATGCCAAGCTGCAGGTACAGGGGTTATGCCACAGCTGGTATCAGTATAGGAGATTTGCTACCACTATAGCTCATTACCTAAGGAATACAATCAAAGGAGCTTTGCTGAAAGTTTCATTACCACCCTCCTCATTCCTTTTACTCTCAGAAACAGGTATATTTGGTCCTGAGCCAAACTACTGAACTCAGTGACAGTCATTCTGTTGCTGTCAGTGAAGTCTGTTTAAATAAATGAAAAGAGATCAAACTGTAAAAAAAAAAAAAAAGAAAAAAAATAGAAAACAGAGAAAGAGAGAGTGGAAAGGAAAAAAAAAAGACCAGACATTTATAAGCTTGGGTATGATACAACACCTATAAATCCAAAATTAGCAGGAGATCAGTAGGAGTATCATTAGTCAAATTCTGGCCTCATGAATCATCTTAAAAATGTCACAGATAAATTCACACTTCAGCTGCTGATTTAAATAGAAACCTGCATCAACATCCAAATGAACAGGCCCACAAGAAATCACTCCCTGGGACTCTGTCAGATGAATCATCGACATGCCTGAGAGTGTCCAACTGGCCAGTGGGTCTGGTTTCAAAACTACAGTCAGCTATCTATGTTTTCACTTTTTGTCAGTTACTTTGTTGCTTGGAAGGGAACTTTTTTTTTTTTTAAATGAGAACTGTTGATGTTTGACTCAGTGCTATAGTCATTAATTTAAATGTTTTAAAGCTAACGGATTCAAATTACCAAACCTCTTAACTTTTGCTGACATGACACACAGAGCTTTGCTTCAGACATGGTTGTATTGCTGGTGTGTATGACTGAGGGTATCCACCAATGTTGTTGAGTGGGTTTGCAAGCTGTTCAGCCACAACTGGAGTAGGGATTTTCTAGGATAGGACCCATTAAATGGCACACCCATTGACTACAGTGTGGGGCCAAGGTCATTATGCAAACTCAACATAGAAAACCTGACAGATCAAAACCACCTTAAACCTAGAAGTTCACATTTCTTCCTTCATACTAGTTGGCAAACTAGAGTCACTATAACTTCTCTCTACATTTTTCCATTGCAGGAGCATGCACATTGCTTTTTTTCCTTGAAATTTCCTCATCATAAGGTCCAAATACTATGTAGATGACCTGAACTTACTTAAACCCCTATATCAGCATTCCAATGAATCACTGAAGAGAGATACCTAACTCTCATTTTTCTTAGCTTTTGGACTTACCATTCTTATACCACCAGAGGCGTGTTTCATACGTGTTTGAAAGCAGGTGGGTGTGCAAACTGCTTATCTGCAGTACAACACAGAAATGTGTAGCATGCAAGTCACTGCTAAAGTCCTCTTAACTATCTTGGTAAACCTGTGCCCATGTGAGGCCATGAGCCAAGAAGTCTTCCCGTGTCAGTACTTTCTGTAAGAAAGATCCATGGCTCACATGGTTTCCAAACTAAAGGTTGCAACCTTAAATGAAAGTAATGCACCTACAGATAACACTGACACCATATTGAAAATTCAATACCAGAAATGAAGACATAAGCCTGGCAATGCAACAGAAAATGGGGTCAAAGGTGTAAAAACTTGGTAGCTACTGCCATCATGAATGGTCAAAGGGAAAAACTTCAGGAGTACCCATCCAAACATCTCTCAGGAGAATACTGATCTCTATAAGTGACTGAAACTTCTAACACAAGAAATTTTTCTGCAAGCAGATGGTTCCATGAGGAAAACAGAGTTACTGTAGAGCCAGTAAAACCATAATGAGCCAAGTCATCGTTCAGGTTAATACTCATGGTTCTGAATTCCCAATTTACAAATGTGGCTAGCATCTAAATTCCAGGTTCCTGGGATACTGTTGTAAGGAAGGGAAAAGTAACTGCACAAGTAGCGTTTGTCCTTCATCTTTGTCAGCATAGAGGATTCAGCACTGCTAGCAATGCTAGCCCACACAGATCCTGTACTAATATAAGCATGCTTGGACAACTGGTTATTTAGACATTTCTGCCATTGCTGGATACTACCTTTAAGTCAATGCTGGAGAGTAAATGCCTGGCAGCCACAGTTTTGTCAGCAGTATGATTTCACCAGCAGACTGGCTCAGTGGAAAAGTTTCAGGTTTTTATTTATTTGTTGTGAATGTCATTGAATGCATTTGTAATAGTCAAGATACTCTGAAAAAAACCACATGATATATTCAAATATTGCTAAAAGCAAAAGCTGGAGAGGTACACAGGAACCTAAGACAGGTACACAGAAAGCTTACTCCCTCTCAGTACTGAGATTCATGCAACAAAACAACTGTAATCCTAGGAAATCTGTTTCAGCAAAGATCTGGCCAGCAACACAATGGTATTTTGCTTAATGCATTTGAGATATTGAAAATATATCTAAAAAGAGACTTACATAGATGCCTGTTAGGTGAAAACCAGTTATGAACTCTTGCTGTCATCTGACTTTCTCTGCTGTGGTTCATGTACAGATTGCCTTTTATTTCCTATTGACATCATACTACTTGGAATAATAATAATTTTAGAAATGTTGGTTGTTTTAATTTCTAAAGTGGTAAATCTAGGTTTTCTGATTGTTTCTTTTTAACAGTCTCTATAGAGCCAGGATTGGGAGCTCCCATCTCTTTCTGGCCTTCAGGTCTCTGTTCATATCACCTGACTAGCTTCTCTTTGGTGGAAAATGGGTGGGAGACTTGGAAGAGATTTTTGGCAGAACTCATGTCAGCCTACATCTGGTTTGCAGCTGTTGCAACTAAGACAAGAAAAAAGTCCCAACAACCTTAGTTTTCTTCTACTGGCTACATCTTATGCCAAATGGTAGGTGTAGAGGCAGAGAACAAAGCCTAGGGGGATCTAAGTTACACTCCTTACATCTCAAAAGGCACATGTAAAATATATACAGATGGTACAAACCACTTGATGAAAAATACAGCAATCTATATTGTCTGTCTTCCGCCTTCTCCCAGACAAATTCTGGCACACTCTCAGAAGATGTAGCCTACATGCAGGTATTAGTACCTTATCAGTCTCTCTTTTGCAAACCTTTGTTCTTTGGATGTCAAGTAATGTAGGCAGTTAAACACTGCTTTGAGGGATGCAGGTCATACCTCTTTCTCAGAACCGTTTTTGTGTTTTCAAAAACTCCAGGCAGCATCTTTAGTATCTCCTGTTAGACAAAAATGCTTGTTGGTAACTGATGTAGAAGACACCATTTGGAAAGACATTCAAAGCTATAAATGACTGTTCTACAGACCTTTGGAGACTTAGATTTTTCCTGAGCTTAATAATATCTCAATTTTTTTTACTATAAATCATTACTAATTGCAGTATTCCCCACCCTCAAAAGTTACTTCTACTTTGCTCTAAGGAAAGGATTGCTGTTAATCCCGATATTTGTATTGTCACGCCAGAGTTCCTATTTCCTTCTCTCTCCATCATTGAGACGTGAAGCATACCAGGCAAACACAGGATCTAACTCCTATGTGTAGAATATGAAAAGTGGTCATTTTAGTATTTTTGCTTTTGATGCATGCCTAGGAAAAAAAAGACTGATCACAGAATAGGAAGAAGAGGCTGGTCAGAATATCCATGATACAAAGATCTGCTGCTATCTGGATAGAGTCAGAATCACAGGCAACATGTGCAAGAAGCACCTGCTATTTTTTCTTGGATTAGTTCAACAGCTGACGTACCTTCATTTCTCAGACAGAAATGAACTTTCAGTTAATACCTGCAATGGAAGATCCCAGACAAGAATTTTCAAAAATAAGTCAGATTGGTGGTGCTTTATTAGCAGTTGCAGGTGGTTTTCAGATCCTGATATCCATACTGACAGTGAGTAGTGACAATAAGCAGTGACAAAAAGGCCATCGGAATTTCACCCCTAGAGTTGTTACTCAACATTCAGGTTTTCAACTTTCACACACATTTTCCAACACTTATTCTCAGAAAGCCTCTACCATGAACAACCCGATTCTAAATTTATTTCACTATAAATTTATAGTGAAGTAGGCTAAATTAAATGTTCTTAATTGCATACGTCCTCTAAATGGTGTTCAAGTGTTTGCAGAGAACAACTACTACATAGTTATTTACTTTAAAATTAAGCAATCTGTACAAAGTAATCAATGCAAAACGCTTGTTACTTCTGAGTAGTTTAATGTTGCGTGAAAGAGCATTTCTTTCAGACTTAATTCCTCTACATTTGTTTAAATCACTAACATGTAAACAAAAGCTTTAGAGCTTCTAAACATGAATAGGACACAACAATGATATGTGATTCAATACAAAATGCTTTTCTTTTTTTTTTTTTTCCTTCAAGATATTGGCAATATGAACTTAGGGAAAAGCACTTTAGTATCAGAGCAATAATCTAGCAAAATGTCATTAAACTGAAATATACATATGAAGAAAATAAGCAACTTTGTACTATTACAGTTGCAAAGGGATATTATGGAGAGGACAACTAGATTTTTTAATGGTAAGAAGTACATACTGGTGTACAGCTCAATTGACTAATCTAATTGTTTCTGATTCTTAATAGTTAATTATATTTTCTGACAAAATGAAATAGTTCGCTGAGACACAACCAAGGAGCTGGCATAAAGGTCTCCATATGGTTCGTATTGTTTTGCCAGCAACTACATGTGAGAACAAGATTTACCCAGAAATAGTCACTTTCAAACATTTTTGACATTTAATAGAAAATACTATGCAGTTTTTCCATGACATTTTTTTCTATTTTCATTTCAAAGTTGTTCAGGATTTGTATGTAAACTTAACCTGTGTCCACAACATTGTCCATTGCTTTGCAGGATCCTAATTTAAATCCTTACTCCCTTACTTTTTGTATAACCTTTGTACCAAAAAAATTAGTTAACTCCTGGGCCATTCAAAACTACATAGTTATGCTTACTTTGATGCACCTACTCTCATTTGCACCAGTTGAGACTATGCAACCAAATGCTGCAAACTTACTTAATCTTTGGTTTTTTCATAATTTTTCTTCTCTTTAAAGTCATTTAAATAATATTCTTAGAAGATTTTGCTCAGCTAAAAGTACAGCTCCAAATCACTGAACATATTTAATCTGAGTGCCTCTTTTGAGAATGTCATTAAAAGTATTTCTGGAGCTGCAATTCACTAAATGTATTTAGAGAATCCTTTCTGAAAATTGGAACAAACAGCATCGTCATTTCCATAATTCATAACTCTGCATGTGCAAATGGGCAAAGCTGCACAGTAGCGCAAGTACAACATCAAAATTGCATGAATCCTTCTTTTCATTCTAATGAAAGCAAATTTTTGTTTTCTTATTGAGTTAATGCTTTCTAACCCAGTCTGTGACAATTTACAATTTAAAACAGCCTCATATCCACTCCCAAAAAAAACATGAACTGGCACAGCAAAACCTGTGGGTATTCTGAAACACACTATATACCATTCTAAATCATTACCTACTAGTTGTTGCTGCCAAATCTTTTGTTGTTACTGCCTCCTGAAAGTACAAGTCTAGGAATTATACTGCAGTGTTGGAAACACTG